TAGTCTGGTAGATGGTTACCAACGTTTAAAAGATGGCTCTTTTCTGGATTTTAGCGCTGTGTAGTCTGGTAGAAGTTTACCAACGTTTTACGAGATGGCTGACTTCTGAGTTGTAGCGCAGTGTAGCCGGGTAGAAGTTTACCAACATTCCAAAAGATGGCTGTCATCTGGTTTGTAGCGCCGTGTAGTCTGATAGGAGTTTCTTCTTCTTCTTTTGTAATCAATCCTAGAATTGGTTGGCAGCAGCTCAGAAGAGCTGCTGATACTTGGGAAATCCTGAGGATCTTTAATGCGGTGGATTCTCCTTGCCTTCCGCATCCTATGCCGTTGACCCATCCGGGTTCATCCGCCTTTAGGGGTGATTTCTCACCCCAATGGCATGAGGGTGCCCTGAACCTCCACCCGCTCATCCACCCTCCGAAGAGGCTGTTGGGACTTGGTAGAGGGGGACCACTTATACCGGTGGTCACTCGGTCTGTGGACGCAGTTTAACGTCATGCCCGGGACAGTAGGAGTTTACCAACGTATAAAAGATGGCTTTTTTCTGGATTTTAACGCTGTGTTGTCTGGTAGAAGTTTACCAACATTCCAAAAGATGGATGTCTTCGGTACTATACCAATAGAAAAGTGGAATTCAACCTGATTGTTATTTGGTCAACAGTAAAATCTCAGAACAATGTTTATTAATTTTCTTGGTAAAGTATTTTGTTTCAAATACTTTATATTGACATTACAACTTAAAATTAAAAACTACAACTTTTATGTAAAGCATTTTTCGATATGTTGAATATTTAATATAATAACAGGACGAATAATTTATGATTTTGTATATAATGAATAATTTTGTACCAATGATGGTTACTATTGAAACCTGAATTCATTTCCATCACTAATTTCGCTCTAGCCTCTCCCGGTTTTAAGTACCTTATTTGCTTGCTAATTCTGTTGAGTCTCTAGGGGCGGGTGGTTAAAATGGATTTGTATCAGCAACAGATGAACTCAAAGGTCAGTGACATATGAACTAAGGTGAAGCAAAGATTCCGAAAATAAATTGCTCTAATTTTAAGTAGATATGTACGTATCCAATTTTGTTTATTAGGTGATATGGCTGTAATTAAGCATCAAGAATGACGGTATGCAGAAAGGGTGACTTATAGATACATGGATTTTCGTCTCTGGTGCTACACGGATGTAAGTTATTAGTTTCAAGCTCTGCTTGCCTTTACCTTCGGTATGTATTCGACAGATGTTTGCATCTGATAGAGAATCGAGTTCTATGTCGTGGGGGAAAATATACAAACAAACATACATACATAGATACATGAATTCAAAAATACATGCATACACGTAAAGTTTATACAGCAATTATTGGTTATTGCGCATTTTTAGTCCAACATATACCTGTTATTATTTCCGTTAATCCTGTAGGCGGTATTTATATGATAATTTCTAAAAGCCGTTAAAATGATGATGGAGGCAGCATGAATCACTGAAACGTTGGTAAACTTCTACCAGACCACAAGACGCTACAGCCCAAAATCCATACATCTCAGAATGGCAATATACCGTCTATTGTGTTTAATTTTCATTAACTTCGTAGTTAAGATTTAATTTTTTAGTTATTTCGTTACTTCGCATGTGACTTTCTTTTATAATCGAGGTAACTGGCGATTATGTTGATAGTGGTGGTGATTGAGATTTCGTCTGTCTGAAAACTTTTCGCTTTATTAGCAACACACTTTTCGTTTAGATTTTAACCGTAACATAGTCTTTACTTGTTTCAAGATTTTAAACGGTGGTGGTAAACACACAAAATTTTAGGAGAATTTGATCGCCTTAATTTATTGGAAGTGAACATTTTTAGCATTCTTTCATAAAACTGTTAATATGTCCATGTCCATGTCAGGCGCTTGCTGGTACATTTATTTCCACAGTTACCTCAGAGATGTCAGCACTTTCAACTTCTACGAATCAGTTTTGTATACAGAACGCTGAAAATTTGAATCGATTAACCACAAAACCGGACGCA